TGGAGCAGAGGATTCTTAGTAAGAATGTTTTTGGTTAGTGTGCATTATGTGATAGGCCTACTTCAATCCAAGTGTGACCACCCCACTGTGCCACAATTAGCTCTGAGTCGAGGGCTGTTAGCGGGGGCCAGCACCATATAGACTGAGAGTTACGTCATCTCCGTTCACTCCAATGGACCACTTTTTTACAGCAATGGCGGATCGTGGAGCCTCTCAATCGTTCCCCGGAAGTTAGCGCCAAGGCTAGCAGAGCTGTAGAGTTGCAGCATAATAGACCGTTCGTGACGGACTTTTAAAGGTAAGAAGAAGTTTAAAGATTTATATTGCGGATATTATCAGTACATCTGATTCAAATTAACATGTGTATTAAAGGATGTCAGTGGATTATCCCTAAATTAGTAGATTTAGGGAACGTTTACAGATAACAGATTAAGCTAGGATACCGAATCAAGTTAGCAACACACGTTGAACAGCCTTTTAATTGTAAATTCCGTTCTCTTAATGTCATTTCGTCCAACGTTGTTGAATTAGAGAAGAGGGGCTTCTAAACGGGATTGTATACGGGGGTGGAGGGAGTTAAATATTAGATAAATATAACTTTGGTGCGTGTAAGAGTGAGTGTTTTTAGCAGAGCCATATTGTGTCCTTGTGATTATGTTGATTATTACCTGTCTGTATTATGTTGCAGCTCAGCTGATTTTGGATTGATGGCAAAGGGAGAGGGACTTAAGTGAGAATGAAAACACAAGGTAAGTTTAATACTACTGTTTTATATAAGTAAACACCTTATCTCCCCAAGGCAATTTCCCATCCAATAGGTGTGCTATATAGGTGTGTATAACCCTTTCTCCTGTCTGTTACTCCCTCTTTCAGCACAATAACCAGAGGGGGATTCAATGGAGCCTGAATACCTGCACTGAGACCCTCACCCTGCACCCTGAGTCTCAACTCTCAGTGTTTTTCAAGCCTTTTCCTGTTTTTTTGTATTAAACAAAACATTAAGCTTTCCCAATGGTGTGGTTTTTGTTTTGTGAACAAGTGCAAATGCAGTGTTTGTATATAATTACCTCACATATTTTGTTGCTGTTGGTTGTGAAATTGCTCCTGCTGACTTGAGCCAGCCATTTTTTCCTCCGCTCTGTGTCAGTGGGGAAGCCGTACATCGGTACTCCTTTCTCAGAGCGATTTGAGCATCCCCAGGCAGCACAGCAAACCATGGTGGCGACTAGGAGGCAACACAGCAAACCAGGACAACACGGAGGAAAAGGCACAGACAAACTGCATGATATGCTATTCAATGTTTATTGAATTCCATGTATTTGCAATGGATGTTCCTAAAACAACACATTTATCATCATCATCATGCTGCTGCTGCTGCTGCTGCTGCTGCTGCTGCTGCTGCTGCTGCTGCTAGTCCTTTGATAGTCACCTGTCGGTCTCCTGTCCTTTCTGAAAGCCATAAAAATGACATTAGTCATTTAGATAACTTGTGTCCTCAATTACCATGGGATTACTGAAACTACCATGAATTTAAGAAAATGGTAGCAATTAATCTAATCTGAATTTTAAAGCATTACTTTAGATCCCCTCCCTCTAAAGATATCAAACATTAGAAAGTGATGCTCCTGACTACCATACAAGTTTAAGAAGATAATATTAGTTTTAAAGAATTCAATGCTATAAATAAACAGCAACAGGCTCTTTAACCAAAGCACTGTTAACCTAACATGTAAACTCCTTGTTCACACTAATCCTAATATTATCACTTAATATTAGCAAATTCTATTTTATTTTTTAAAACATTTTGATGTAAATACATACACATCGATTTGTTGTATAAATATTGCAAATCAAAACCTTTATTCACTAATAATTACCAAAAATCGTAGTTCTATCTCCTGTTATCAGTGCATTCACATTGCCCGCCATGAACTTCCGGGGAACGATCCTCGTCTACATGAACCACGTGACGATAACCGTTTTTGGACTTCCGTTGTCGTAACTCTTCTATTATATGGCGCTGGCGAGGCATGGGTGTTCTAATATGTGCTGGAATGATTTCTCTCCTTATGCAGGGACTTCCTGTTCAATGTGTCAAAAATATTCCTTTAACGCTGGAACAAACACAGGCCTAAATAACCTTGCTAAAATGAATCACTCACTAAATTAGTAATATATTGCACAGATAGTACACCGATGATGTATCATGCTTCCTTGACAGAAGTCGGTATGAGCAGTTGGAATGGTATTTAAAACCACTTGACACCGTTCCACAAAGCAAACAACATATTTGCGGCCAATTCTCTGCTTTGAAGGCTGAGTAGATCACACACACACAGTGTCAGGGACACACTGTAATGCCTTGTGCATGTAGTGGCTCTAAGGAACTCAGTCCCTGACATAATTTGCTGTCTTCTGAACTATGAATTGAGAGCTAGATCACGGCATGGCATCCGTCCCGATGTTACTCTTTCAACTTTTACCCTCCAGACCATGACTCGCACTCCTTCCAGGCAATTAGCAGATGCACCATATTGGCTTGGCTTGTGGCCATAGAGACTATTACAATTTGATCAGTGACAAGTTGCATTATCTTGGACTTCAAAACGCCGGGGAATCTTAGGAAGCATTAGGATTAATTTGAGTTACCCCGCTAGAGAAGACTTAACAGCGGTGTTCCTGGCTCTGAGATTTACAAGAGAAGTGTATGAAATATGAAAATAAGATAAAACCAGTCATCCGTGTTGTTTGAGTTACCAAAGCAGTCAAATCAGTTGAGCAAGACTTAAAAAAGATGAGGAATTATACATGTTATACATACCAGTACATGGTGAGCCTTTTTAACCTTATGATGTGAAGAAAAATGCTAATGGTAAAAAAAAATCCAAAAAACTAGTGAATACATTTCAATATCTATACATTGTTACAGTTAATAGTTATGTAGTTATGTTCCCTAAGTTTAGAGCTAATTTTCATGGGAAAAAAAGGTTTAAAATTAATATCTGACAAGTCTCCGGTGACAGCTCCTCCTCATATCTGTTCAGAAACTAGACATAAATTAAAGAAGTACAAACCACAGACTGTCTGTGTCATGGCGAATACAGTCGCTGGTTTATTTCTGTCTGTACTTGATTGTACTTTTGGTAGTAGTCCAAGTAGTACTGAATCCAACAGTACCAATTTTATTAAGAATTTATAGCAAAACATATTTGTATCTTTCATCAAAGAGGACAGAAAACATGCATTATTGTACTCTGTACTATTGTTTGACAGAGTATTACTCAAATAGTACACAGTAAAAGTACTTGATTGTATTTGTGGTAGTAGTCTAACAAGTACTGAGTCCAACAGTACCAATGTTATTAAGAACTTATGGCTAAAAATCATGTTATCCCTCATCAAATATCATTGATTGATTGATCAAATATAGCATAGCTCTTGTACTACCGTCAGCGCCGCTTCTCGGCAATTACCGTAAAGACGCTATTAATCGCGCACTCAAAAATGAAGCACTGCTCATTTGACCAAGCAAATGATGGCTGAGTTGACCGCAGTCCATATCGCTACAGCGGGGCCAAGGCACTATCTGTGGAAATTAAGATAGTACATGATTTAAGAGAGACCTAATTAAAAGCTAATTAATTTGCTCTTATATCTTGTTAGAAATTAAAATCAATGTTTTGATAGCATAATGTACCTTAAACATACCTTCAGTTTAAATGCTGTTTTATACTGAAAAACCAGAAGTTCTTGTGCACAACCAGTTGTTAAGTATTTTATTCTGAAAATCCTTCATCTCCGGTTAGCAGTTAGCATGTGGCTAGTTTACCATTTCTTATAGAGGTGAATTTAGTAGCGAAATGACATGGAGTGATGCACACCGAAACCTACTGATTTTAACACTGCAACTATAGACGTATTATTATTGCTGAATATTAAATGAAGGTACAGTTTATTTGAAAAAAGTTATTGTTTACAGACGTGGGTAAGATGTGACAACATCCGGAATGACCAGAAACCAAACCAGCCGTGAAGTATTTTCTGTATTTTTTAGTATATTGACTACAACGTTTAAAATGTGTTAAAGGAAAAGTGATGAAAGACAATATGAGGAGAATAGGCGTGTTTAAGTATATATTGAATGTACAATGCCTGAATCCTCTGTTTAACGTAACAACGGACATTAAGATGTGGAGGGCCGGCCCGCAGGGAGGAGCCTGCAGAAGCTATATAACAGCAGCACCTGAGCGGTTCGGCCTCTTTTCCCTCTGCTAGCGAGAGCCAGAGACAGCTGCTTTTCTGTCGGACAATATCCTGTTTGTGACTTTACCACGCTTTTTATTAATTAAAGTACCAATTTGAAAACATCTCAGAGAGTCTCCTTTTTAAGCTTCTCTTTCCTGGACGCGAGAATAACCATCACAGTTAACAATCTTCACTTGCTTTATTACTAAGGCAATTTTACTTAAATGTATTGCATATTCCTATATGTGTGCAATGGCGCTGTATAATCTTGTTCATGGTGATAACAGCACCTCGCGGGTATAAAGCAAAATGGGCAATAATTTAATTTTCGTTAAGATTATTTCTTTGGTGTTAATAAGTGAACACTTTAGTACTATGGGAGATCTACACTAAAGTGGCATTGTTTAAGGAAGACATATTTCTGCTGAGTTAAAGTTTTTTCAAAATGCCATTTCTAAAAAAATATTGGAGCTCCACAAACTAAATTGAATTACTTATATTGCATTGGAGGCAGAACACTTTACAATTTTATCGTAAAACCTTGGCAGATAAAGCCTAGACTCTCATGGCCAATACAAACCAAAATCATTTTTACATTAAAGGTCTGCAAAGGCTGCCTTTCTCACCAAGCTGCATGTTTTATTTACCTCGATGTTATCTTTTTTACATCGGAAAGTCTATAAAATGTTCACTCCCTGTTTATTACTCAGCAAATACCAAACACACTGACATACCACAGATAAAACCCCACACACTTCAAGGTGTTCCCCATTTATAAAATGTGAATGTTTATTAAATGTCGACAAGAACATTAAAACACAGTATCAAGATTCAGCAAAACAATCTATAGTACTTCACCAAAACTAAAAGAAGAACAGAGTTAATTCAGCGCTGGGACTGAGAGTGAAAAAGCAGAGCAATAAAGAGGCAGGGAGTCGGGGGCTGGGAGCAGAATTTAGGAGCTTTGGAATGAGGGGGAATTGGCAGCAGAGGCTAAGGCAATTAAGGAGGTACACAGTAAGAAAGATAGGAGGTTTGGGGACCGGGGGGGTCGATCAGGGGGGGCTGATGCACTGTAATGAGCGGGATAACTGGGAATGATTAGAGCCTCTGATTTCACTCTTTTATCATCAACCTCCGTTGGAAACTTAGCAAGCCGCAGCAGAGAGAGTGACTACAAAGGCATTCACTCAACAGAAACACAGAAGGGGGGCATGGCAAATTATACTTTTACATTTAAATAACAAGAGGGGGCAACTAGCATCAACATACAGTGGGCACAACGCTGCGTTGAGGTGGATGGAAATATAGGGAGTGGGTTCTTGGGGATTTTAAGGGTTTCGAGCGCAGTTCAACACAGTACCAGAAGGTGGTGTCCACTCTTATGGGTTCACAATCACAATAAGTAATAGTTCATTATAATTATGTAAATCTCTCTGTTATCAACACAAATAGCAAGGGGGGGAGGCAAGTTGTACATAAGCATCACAATACTTCAAAAATGTCCACAGAGACGCACTCCCGCTCTGTCGTCTGGCTCATGCACATTGGGCATGTACAAACCGCAGCATGTTCATATATGTGTACACACAGAGACACTGTAGACACACACATGTGCACACACACACCCTCTGTCTAACACAGAGACACACACACTCTCACATTCGTTCTCACACGCAGTCCAGCTCCTTCCCCTTGAGTGACTTCAATCATTTGCAATTTGCCATATCCTCTGACATTATCAAACCTCACACTCTGTGCCATAATAACATCAGTAAGTATTTGTAGCATGAGTCTGTGCTTTTCAATGTTGAAGAGAAGAGGCTGATGTCCTCTGAGACGTAGATCTGTATGCAAAACAGCCGAGGTGCTGCAGAAACACACGCAGCAACGGGAGATCCTTCCAGAAACGGTGATTGCGGAACAACTCGCAGCAGGTCCAGAGTCAGAGGCATTCAGCGCAGCAGTGCTACACTTTAACTCACTGGCAGCTGGGGCAGCAACACATTTCAAATTGTCTCTCAGTGCCACGCAAATGCAAAGATGTCAGAAAGATCCTTTGTGTCCAGCTGGCAGCGATGTGCCAAAATCCCTCTCTTATTGTGCCTCCATAATATTTATATTTGTGCTGCAGATTTGAACGGGCGTGTGCTTTAGGGATAATCAAATGCCTCCTCTTCACTCCTATCCGACCTTCAGAGCGGCACGGGACACTCCCACTTGTTGATCAGGTCGAGAAAAGTTCTGTAAATACTCTTTATTTATTTTTTTTAACTGGTGGATTTGTGAAGTCCATGTGCTAGAGTATTCTTTGTGTTGTAGCATAGTAAGAAAACAGCTTCACATGCTCTAAAAGTCAAACACACTGTACAATAGAATCTACAGATTTTTTTTAAAGCTTTTAGTACATCCAAATAAACTTGAAACAAAGACAAAGGTTGATTCCCCGACTTGAAAAATAAAGATAAAGACGGAAATCAGGATTGCACTATTTTCTGCCTACAGTTTGCCTTTGTGTAAATTACTTCATGACATTTTTTTGTTCCTTTTCTATTATTATTCTTTTTTTAGTTTGCGCATTTTGTTTTGGCCATAACACATTGTAGAATTCCTACTCAGAAGACGGCGGTTGAGAGCGTCAAATCTTATTTTACAGCAACTTTCTCAACCTTTTCTCATGACATGAGACAATGTGTCACACAAGTGGAACCTATAACAAGCAACCAAAAACAAAAAGAGGACAAATAAAAAGGTGGGGGTGGGGTGGGTTGTTGTCAAATACGAATATAAATGTCCTTAACAAGTCCGATAAAATCTAATAAACTAGGGAAGGTCTGATACAGTTTTTGATTGATCTTAAATGTTGTCATCCCTCTTGAATTGAGTTTTTCCTTTCTATTACTTTACATATATTACAGGCGCTGTTATCCCACGCAAACTACCTTAATGAAGGGTCACACTAAGTGTGCCAGCCATGCATCATGTTGAGTCTGTCAGTGCTAAACATGGTCAGTGGAGACGCTCAACTGAACACATGACAGGAACTTGATAATGTTAGAGAACTCTGTCCGTGGCTCCCTGTCGTACACACACACACGCACACACACACACACACACACACACACACACACACACACACACACACACACACACACACACACACACACACACACACACACACACACACACACACACACACACACACACGCTGGGTTACCATCTGTGAGTGCTGCATCAGTTGGCCAGTACTCAGCTGGCAGGCAGATCAGACAAAGTGCCCAATATGCTCCCTAATGGCCCAAGTCAGATGAATGAGATCCTGCGTTGTCTCTTTCTTTTTCCCATTTTTCTTTTTGCACCTCCTTCCTCTTCCTCACTCGCTGGGCGGTGGTGGCGAAGTCGATAGGGACTTGGCTTGGTAACTGGAAGGTCACCAGTCCATCTCCATCTCGCCTCTGATTCGCATTGCCCCCCTTTCTTTCTCGACTAATTTAACTCTCGTCAAATTGTTTCCCCGTTCTCTCCATCTCTGTCTCTTTCTAATTATCTGAGATGCCGCACTCCTTCCCTGCTGGGTCTCATTCACACGGATCAGGGATGTAAATGTGACACTGTCTCTCCTCACCGCTGGAGGATCTTGTATCTCCTTTTTCACTTTTTTGTGAAGGGTTTGTTTGTTTTATACTATATTTGGAGCGTTCACAGATTATACAGCTATGGGCAGTGAGACTGAACCACAATTGAAGTGCCATGTCAGCGCAGATGGGAGGTCAGAGCCACATGTCAGGAGCGAATTACTGGTGTGTGATCCTGCCGGCGATGCTTGGACCGCCATGTCAGACTGAGTAAAGCTAGCTCAGTGGACTGTGGATTTCAGAGCTCTGGTATGTTGCTTTTGTGAGCTGAGCGATCAGAAATATGCATGATGATGGTTATTTGTTCAAGAAAGGGACCATGAGGAAGAATAATGGTAGCCGGCATGACACTAGTAGCTGGATGATGGGGGAGCAAAAAGGAAGTGAAACATAGGGAGGGAACTGAACTCACAGAGGTATGTTTTAGTGAATAAACTATATCAAGAAACTCCGCCTAGCTGTCAGAAATTGTGGTTGGTGATGTTTGTAACTTTTTCCTGCTGTCTGTCTTATTTTTTGTCTTGGTCACGGGTGGGTCTTATCTTCATCTCAGAGAACTTGAGGGAGTACTGCCAGCCGGTCCAGGTGGACCACTCGATGCCGTCGGCATAGGAGGTGTGCTGGCCCCGCAGGTACTGCCCGTTCAGGTTGGAGGTGTGGCAGTTGCGGTACCACCAGGCCCCGTGGTAGAAGGAGGCGCAGTTGTTCTCCGAGTGGTCGTTATCCCGGTCTTTGGTGGTGAACTTCATCCCATTGTGCTTCAGCAGAGCGTCACCTAGTGGGGGAAAACGTTTCATTGTGAGAACAGTGCATTTAAAAGAATAGGCTAAGGCTTATTTCAGTGTATAGCAAGTCGCCTGGTTCAAATGTTATCCGTGGTTATTAAACATATAGATGGAGGTCAGATAGGGGGCTGTTGGACATACTAGAAGGTTTTACAATCTGCTTACACACTTGATGACCAAAAGATATAATTCAAAAGACAAAGCTTTAGGAATAACAGGAGCAACGGTGGAAGTGAGAAGACACAGGACAGACAAAGTCAACACAGGACTTTTGCATACATTAATAGTTACCGTCACGTGTAAAATGTGTCCTTTTGTTTGCATTAGGTTTCATTTTCACTTCTCAAATCTTGTCCTTTTAACCCAAACCACCACCCTTTTGGTCAGCTAAACGTTTTGTGTTGTTTTTTAATTTCATAACTACTTTAGGTGCAGTTTGGCCCATCTGGCATATTAGAATAGTAGTGATAAGCACTGATAACTTATATTTATTGGACTGATGAATCAAAATGTGAGAACAAGCTCTCATAAACAAGTGCAGTTTGGAGAAACAAGTTTTGAGCAGCAGCTATGCATCTCTTTTGGTTCTATAATTACATATTTTTCATTCTGCAATCAGTATTGGAGACAATAGGAAAATAAAGTTTTGTATAATAGAAAAGTAAAGGCAATAACTCAAACACCAGAGTTAACAAATACATCATAAATTCTATGAAATCCTTTGTGTCTTCTTACACTTTCTTGGATCTGATACCAGAAGCCAGTACTCTTTCAATAAATCAATTGTATAATAAAGCAGGAAAGGATCTTTCATAAATAACAAAACATAAAAACATGTCTCCAACAGTTCCCCAGAGCACTGCTTCTTATTATCTAATGCAGGAGGTCAAGTGGCTTTAAAGCCAATTTATCAAAGGTTGTCTTTTTAATACCCCACTCCCAATGATTTCATCAGGGATTCTGTTCAGGGATTTAGTTAATGGAAAGACAACGTGTTAATTAAAAATGCATATTATATTTTAAAATATATAAGTGAGTTTACTGCTAAATGCTTTAGTGTAAAGTTGAGCATAATTCATGTAGCAGTAGTCGTCAGAGATCATAGGAACATAATCAGACAGCCTACAAGATCTATTTATAAATTCATTGTGTTTAGCAACCCTGTCACCGGCTTTTACAGCTTGACAACAAGCCCCGCCCACATGGAATATTCCCGTTTCTCCTGATCAGTCACTGCCACATCCCAATTGTGATGAAAATATCTGCTCACTTTACCAAGATTGTTCACTGGCAGTGCTCTACATCAATAACCAATTTCCAAGCAATGGCTTTAAGAGTTTTACAAGTAAAGCGAAAGCAACATCACATAATGCGGTACAAAGTCATAGCAATTTAATGTTCAATCAGATTATAATGTTCAAAAAATTCGACATAAGCAAACCCCCCCTGCTGCACTCTCCGTCATTTCCTTTATTTCTAAAGCAGGCTTCACACTGTGCCCAGAAGTGGATGAAGGATGGAGCTGAGAGCAGAATGAAAGTGCGCTCACCAGCCATCAGGTGCGAGCTAACAGCTTGTGAGGGCATCAAACAGCCCTTAATTGCTCAGGATGTGGCCGCCCAGCTCCTTACCCTCTCACTCTCCCCCATACTCTGCTCTCCATTTGGCATTACCATGGAAACCAGTCACTGGAAAAATAATCTGGCAGGCGAGTCTGATATTCATGTTGTGTGCTACTGCACGTTAGGAGAAAAAAGAGACGGGGGGAGAAGAAGAAAAAAGGAGACGCTCAATGGCATTGACACTGACAGTGAGATGATATCCGGGGGATGTAGAAAAAGAAGAAGTGAGAAAAATACTGAAAACAGAACAGAAGCACTTAAAGGCTCATTTACGCCGCGCCGGTTGTAACCTTGGTGGTTGGGGGCCGGCAGCCTCCATTGATGCCCATTAAGATCCAGCTGCTTCGGGCCCAAATGAGCACCTGTCAGCTGATCGGAAAACAGCCGTGGCGAATAATAATAATAACAGTAACACTGCCTACAGGGAGGCCGAGGTGAAAGCACCCAGAGAGAGTTTGAAGACTCTTCATTTGACCTAATTCAAATGTCCAACAGGCAGATGAGTTCAAGGTCAGTCCGTGCTGAGGATAAACGCATTACAGGACACCGTGTCTGGGAAAGAGTGGTGCCACATTTTTCTATTTCCCAGTCTGCTGCCCTCTTCTTTCCCTTAAAACCTTGATCCTCATTTGTATTTACCTTCCTCTCTTTTCTTTCGCTCCTGTCCCCTTCTTCCTCTATCCCAGTTGTTCCCAACCTTTCCTTTCCCCTTTTACTCTTGTGCCATTTCTCATATCTGTCCCCATTCTCTCGTTGTGTTCCAGCACCAGGTTTCTAAATTGCTTCTTCATTTCCACGGCGGGTTTTTTGTTTACGCTGCAGGTCAAGCAGTGCGATTAGTTTGCGGTAATTTAATAAGGTGACAGGAAGCTGGCTTGGATCTGATGTTTGGGGGGCAGAGGTAAAGACACCCCCCTTCTCTGTGCAACTGTCTGCATGGTTTAACGAGTGGATTCACCTCACAGTAAAAACAAATGTACTATGTACTACAGTGACCTGATGTAACCTTAGTAGAGAAACAAGCAATGAAAAGTATGAAAAATGTTAGTATGAAAAATGGTGTCCTCTGCTGATTTCATTTATAGGAAAACCTGGTTTTCATGAAGCATATTCAGGCAGTAGCCTATACGCCACTGAAACACGAGCACACACTTCAGTTTAAGAAATCAAATCTGAGCAGACAGAAAATGCTCCGTTATGGTTTAATACACACACTATTTTATGAACATTTTATGAACATCTTTTTTGTGTGCCCAGCCATGTGTTTATTTCATTTCTTATTTCTTCGTCCCTATTTGTGTAACTGTTTTCCTTTTGTCCCTCCTACTCTTTCTACTTATATAGCGTCCTTGGGTTTCATGAAAGGTGCTATATCAATCCAAGTTATTATTATAATAATAATTATTAATATTGTATAGGTTCACCTACTGAATTAAAACACTGACAAATATAACCAAAGAAAGTGAAAGCCCTAAAGTGTATTCAGGCAGTAGGCGTATAGATTCACGCTTCAAAGTGTTAGCCTACAGAACAGTACATCTTACAGAGAAGAAATCAAATCTGATCTTTTAACAACAAACCTGTAAATAACCTTTGTTTTGTATCCTGATTATGTAATCTCGTTACATGTAATCCATTACTCCCTAAACCTCCTAATCAATCAGATGCAGGAAGTGTAACTATCTCACTGAGAATACATACCTGCATTGCCAGAATAGTCTCCCACAGTCAAAGGATAGCCGTCATCATCAGGGTCAACGGAGAAGAGGCCCACTCCAAAGGTTCCATACTGGGCGTAAGCGGTGCTATTTTCAAAGTCCTCCAAGTCGATCCGCAGCTCATAGTTCCCCTGGATGGACAGAGCATGGATCTGCTTCAGCCCTGCAGGGAGAAAGAGAGCGAGACACAGACCAAAACAATCCGTTACAAAGCAAACAATTGAAAGCTATTTCTGCAGCCTCTCTACGCCGTACATTTTCTGGAAATAAGATGTAACATGGTTTTGGCCCATTTAGAGGCTACCCGTGCATGTGTGGGTTTCTTTCCAAAAACAAGATTAGAGGTTGTTTTTTTTTACAAAGTGCACACTGCTCTCAGAACTGTTTGCCAAGAGGATGGAAAGACCCGTTTCATCTGCTGAAACTGTTTTTACAATGACAGTTTGTGGTCTTTTTTAAGCAACACATTTTTATAAAAACATCTGCACAAACATTGTGAAATAATTGTATGTATCAGCAATGTTTAGCACATTTCAAATATGTATTTCTATCTATATTTCATCAGGGAAAACCTCATTGATTGATTGAAAAGTTTATTAACAGCTTGTATATTGGGTACAGTACAGTACAGCTCAAAACATACAATTGTTAAGGGGATGCAGACCAGAGAAAGACTTTCGTCTTGTTTACATCAGGGTCCCCCATTTCCAATTCATCATATCATTTAAGACATATAAGACATATTTGACATACAGATGGCTTACAGGTACATACAGGTGTTTTTTTACATACAGATTGCTTGTTTACAATTTTCATTTTAGATTTCGTTCTAATACATCCTAACCGGACATTTAAGACATACCAAGTCTACAGATATACAGTTAGTAACAGAGTCTAAAATGCGAGTATATACATAGATGGGGGGGGGGGGGAAGCTGTCCATTGAACGACAGGTTGAGATTTGTACCATTACCGGGGCCAGTTTTGCAATGCTCTCCCCCGAAGGTGCTCTTTAAGAGAGGTTTTGAAGGTAAGTATAGTTTTACTTTCCTTTACAGTTGTGGGAAGAGCGTTCCACCTTGATGTGGCATAATTACGAAACGTGTATTCCCCCTCTTTTGTGCCAAATCTGGGTTTCACATGATTTGTGGAGCTCCCTCTGGTGTTATGATCATGGTATTCCTTGACCTTTGGGAAGAATTTTGACATGTAAATGGGTACCATAGAGGTGTAGTGGATCTTGTAGACCAGGCCCATTGCAAGTAGCTGTACTCTGTCGTCTACTCTAAGCCATCCTAGGTTGTCAAAGTGGGCAGAGGTGAGGTGGGTTCTAGATGAAAGGTCAAGCCAGTTTATTTTGCGATGTTTGAAGTTTTATTTTTAGCGCCTTGGAGGTGCTATGGTACCATGACGTGCAAGCATAGTCATAGTACTTGAATGAGTGCTCCTGCCAGAGTTTTCAGGGTGTTTTTGTTTACCAGAGAGGAGATCCGGTATAGGAATCTAGTTCTTTGATTGACTTTTTTTATTACATTGGATGCCATTTTGTCACAGGAGAGGTTTGCCTCAAGAATAGATTCTTAACCTCAGTTTCAGCAGGCGTGGGTTAGATGTCAACCATTCCGCATTCTTGATGTTAGAGATTAGGAATTTGTCTGTAATTGCTTACAAGGTTAAGTTTCCTGGATAAAGGAGATATTGTAACATTTCACCTGGCCATGTACTACAGGTAATGTGTTGTTTTGTCCAAAAATAGCTTTTTTGGAGTATACTAGAGGAATGGAAACTTCTCCATGAATGTGAAATTGAATTTGAACAACCTAATTCAATTAAAACATTTTAATATCAAAGATGGAAATCTACCAGCAGGGTCAACAACATCTGTGGCCTCCTGGTTATAAAACATGCAAAGTATTCTGAAGTCAAATTTCAGATCTCAAAGCTGATCTAATTTTGTTATTTTTGTGCCCTTCAGCTCAGCTCTGACCAGAAAAAAAACGACTTTAGTCTAACATAATATATATTTTAAATCAGTGATATAAAAGCTCAATAGACTAACATGATGCACTGCTGGAGGAGACATTAACACCCAGCGGGAAGAGGAAAATGTGGTTAGTCATATAGGGCAGCGGTTAAGCATAAATAGGTTGTTTTGTTTCATTGTGCTAAGGAGTTTCCTTCGTTTTTTAAAGAAACAATATTTTTTTCTCTCCGTCAGTTCAATTCGTACAGTATCTTGGTTGGTTTGATAGTTTGTTTGTCAGAAGGATTCTTGCAAATCAATAAGCCTGATTAACATGAAACTTACTGTCATATTATAATATGAGCAGAGGAAGAACACATTACATTTCAAATGTACACGGTGCAAATTCACTAATTATTTTTCACTTATGGAAACAGCCTTGGAGAAGCACTAAGCTCTTGAAATGCCTTAGGTAACTTTTAATTTCAAACATATGATAAAGTATCAGCTATAAGCACATTAATATGGAACACCCTAGAATCTGATGTTGGTTGCCTAAAAGTATGATTTTATAACTCCTTGATTGTGTGCATGAAGTCATTAGTTATGATAAAGTCTTCTGAATTCTTGTGAACTTGTTCACATCCACATGTCTCAGCTATTTCCAATTCCAGCTTGCCACCTCTTCATCAGATGCCCCGAACCACTCTTTTAATTGTTGCTCAAACCTTTGGAGAGAAATGTGTAAGACAGAAAGTGCCAGAAGGGAAAAGGATTCCCATCCCTTCTTCCTTGCCCCCTCCTGCTCTCTGTCCCCCCCCCGCTGTGTTGGAGTGATGTTGTGTCCCTGGGCGTGTTTTCCTCTCCTGAGTTGATCAAAGGCACCAGTTGAGTGGTGTGTCAGGCGGAGAGGAGCAGGAGGAACTAAACCTGGGTCCCTCCAACACAAAATTGAAGGCAGGAAGACAAACAAAAGTGAACTCAGCCTCAAGACTGAGTTAAAGAGCCTTCCTCCATGCCTATAAACGCATTCTATGCAGTGTTTATTTGGGAGACAAAAAGAAAAGAAATAACATTTGAAAGCCACCATGATAACAGGGCTTCAAAGACTGTTGGAATTAGAGCATGTAGAGGAGGCTGTAGGCTGGTTAAGGTTTGCTTTTCTGTCTCTGCTGTAATGTGAATCACCATGAAAGCAGCTGCACCACAGGAAGCAAGGTGTCTTTATGAACCTAAACACTGTCATATTACCTCCTGCTGCAATCATCACATTCACAAATGAAACTCATTCTCCTTTTTAATGCCTTCAAACCTCAAACTGACTTTGCCTAATTTGAATTCCGTCGTTGAAATGGCACTCTGCGAGCGGCTCGCCTAAAGTAGAGAGCTAATTTGATGACAAACACAGCTGAAAGAACCCATTATTATTCAGAGAGGGGAGCTTGCAGGCTGGGCCCGGGCACTTAGTGAGGATTGAATCTAGCCCAATGGGAGGTTGATCCTGCTCTTTTCATTTTCACAGCGGATCAGTAAAATTGGAGGTGGAAAATCAGTGATTAATACATTCATGGGTAGGTAACTTCACGCACGCCCGTTTTTCCATTAACTACTAAAATATATATGTACTCATGTGATGTGTGCGATAAAACACACATCACATGCAACACATTTTGACGCATTCAAAGGAACAAAAATGGCTCATTTGCAGGAAGTTTTCTTGTCGCAGCCCTTTGAGAAAAAGTATCAATCCACACAAACACCTAAGGGAAAAGTATGCAAGTCATTTCACAAACTTCAAAAGACTTAGGATGTTTTCTCTTTCGGAAAAAAAAGGAAATACAAATAAAGTACCAGATGCAACACAACTCTATTTAAAGACTTCCAAGTGTATTTACATAACTTTAATTCAGTCTCTAATTAAAGCCCCAGAGAATCTCCGAGAGATTCAGAATCAGAATAATTAAAGGGAAAGACTAACGCAACAACAACAGAGACTTCTTTGGTTCAAATCTAAATGCTCAGGTGTAACTCGCTGTTAATTAAATCCATTGTTAGGTTATTTTAAATGGGCTCTGATACAAGGGAGGATTCAGAGGTGTTTTGCTTCAGTATTAACATGCTGATTGTTCCGTTGGGAAAAATACTTCTCTCTTCTCACTGATTTGCCGTTCATAGGAAGCTTAGCGGAGAGTCCAAAAACTTCTGCCCTCCCGCACGCTTTAGATGTTTCTTTCTTTATTCCTTGCTTTTAAATCCAGGCCATATTGAGGCACATTGTTTTTAATTGCTGTTTGTTTCGATTGGACATTTATAAAAATAAAGTATTAATGTTATTATAATATTATTTTCAATTTTTTTCTAAAGAAGGTCTTTCTTTTGAAGTATGACAAATCACTCGAGGATACTTTTCTCTTAAGTGTGTGTGGTTTGATACTATTCCTCAAATCACTAGGACAAAAATAATATGTCCTCAAATGAGCCATTTCCGTTCATCTGAAAGCGTGTAAAAGGCAGCGCATCTTGTGTATATGTTTGTGTGTGTCTATAAAGCCATGCTAGTTGCTGTATCTGGGCACAGTGACATTAAAACGCTACATTTAGCATACTAACGTAGTGAAAAAAACGTACTATTGTTGTCATCTTAGTTTAGCATTTTAGCATGCTAACATTTGCTAATAAGTACAGAAGGGGCTGTTTTCATAAGCTTTGCAGGTATTTGATCATTAAACTAAATATTGGATTCATTACAGATTTTTATCTAAGGATGAATCTAGACTTAAGAGTCCCATTTTCAGGTTTGATAATTGAAATATTTAATACCACCCCTTAATGTCAATATGTAATGGGATTAACAAAGGAGTCCAATGGAGGTGTTTCAGGCCGGGGGGGAGTGAGTGGGGGGAAATCTCCCTCTGGAGGGAACACAGGGATTTTATTCTTTGCAGATCCTACAACAAACCTATATAACTACAGGAAAGGGGAAATAAGTGAAATAGGGCCTGTTTAAAAGTAAGGACCCAGCTTATGTTGCCCATGCTATCCAACACTGAAAATAACAAAACGTTATTGGGAAGCTTTGAACTTCTTTCTACACATTAATCTCCACAAGCAACAGGAATACTTATCTGATGTAATGTAAGAAGGAGATAAATAATGCTGGCACAACCAGCATCTCATTTTGAACAATCAATGTGTTTACT